AGTATTGAGCAAAAGAGTGATGCAGCCTGACCTCTGGGAGGACCGGTGTGGCCTGTGGAGGACAGACCATTCCGAGGGCAGGGGCGAGAGCGGGGAGACCAGTGAGGAAGCTGCTGCGCTAGAATTAAAGCACCTTCAGAAGCTGCACCAGGCCTGCGGATAAGGGCCAAAAGGGCAGTGGGGTGGGTGTTTGGGATCTTTGAGGAAGCAGCTCTGGCGATTGGTGAGTGAGCCCCAAGACTAAACTGTGGCGGGGTAGGGAGGCCAGCACCTGCTACAGGAGGTGTCCCAGCTGTGGGGGGTGGGGGTGGGGGGTTCAAGGGAGGCAGCCAAGGCTGGGAAGGCCCACCTCCCATGTCCAGGCCCAATGCCCCCTTCTGCCCAGTCCTCCCTGAGTGAGCCAGCTCCCATCTCTAAAGGGTGGATTCACTGAGCACCTACCATGTGCAGAGCACTGGGCTAAGTGCTTCTCAGGCCGAGAGCCACTAACCCTCCCACCACCCTTTGCAGTGGCAATGGCTGTTGTCTCCAGGTAACACAGACTCAGAGAGGCTGCCTGGTCCAATGTTACACAGGTAGTAAGTGGTGGATCCAGGCCTGCCTTCCTTCAATCTCCAGGTAAAAGCAGTGCTCTGAAACTGCACTGCCCCAGTGTCTTAGCCACCAGCCACCTGTGGCTGTTTAAATAGCTTACAGTTCAAGTTCAAAAATCAGTTCCCTGGTCATCAGCCACATTTCAGATGCTCTCCCTGATTGGCCAGCATAGGTAAAGGGCGTCCCCACTGCTACAGAAGGGTCCCCTGACCGCTGCCCCGGGAGGATGCAGCAGAGTCCTGCCTGAGGCTCTGTGTGTCCAGCTCCCCTCGGCCTTGTCCCTTCGGGGGCCTCATGCCCCAGGCTGAGATGCCTGGCTCTACGGGCAGGGAGGGAGTCCATGCAGCAGGCCCTTGGGAAGGGGGAGAGGGAGCAGCGGGGGGTGTGCTGGGGTGGGGCAGTCAGAACTGGGGAGGGGGGAAATCAGGCTGAGGACGGACAGGCCTGGGGTCAGGGTCCAGGCTGTAGGGAGCAGGAAGGGGGAGAGATGAACTGGAAGAGCAGTTTTGAGCCTTCTGGGGAGTGGAAGTGAGGCCTCTGCATGGTGCCCGCTGCAGCCTTCAGATCCCTGCTTCCTGTGACCACATGGGTTGTGATATAGTGGACGTGGATAAACAGGAGCTCTGGAAAGTCAAGAAATTATTGAGGGAGGTGGAAAGGCCACTACAAAAGGATCTGCTGAGAAGGAAAGAAGGCCCGTGGGACACCTGCACCCCAGGCTTCAAATCGTTCAGAGAAAAAGAAAAGGGAGGGGCATGGTTGCAGAAACCCCCAGGCCCACATCATCAGTCTAGGCAGCCCTCAGCATTTTCCTGGTTGTGCTCCTCATTCCTTCTTGATCCTCAAAGTGTTTCTCCTTTTTCCTGGAAGATTTTACAGCGTATCCTACATAGGTCATCCAACCGCTAGATCCTGGTGGTGTTCTTACAGAGGTGATCTCGCTCCTCCTCTGACCTTGTCACTGTCACTCTCTAGAATATCCAGACTTCCCTGATGTTGCCTAGCTCCCACTCCATATTCACATTTCCCCTGATGGGAAGAGAGACTCTGAATCACTGCAGGGGACTGTGAGCATTTGCATGTTCTGAGATGAAATGAGCACCTTGGTAGAGAGTGAACCCCATTCCAGAGGCGTCCACACCCAGGCCCCCTGCGCTTGGCCAGAGCAGTGGAGCTTGCTAGCAGAGGCCATTTGGCATGGACTCTTGATCACAGACTGCTCCTCAGGATCAGGGTGACCCAGAGCAATTATTTAACCTCTCTGAGCCTTGGTCAGCACCTCTGTAAAATGTAGAGAAAGGGAGTACCCACCTCAAGCACATAACCAGCGCTTCAAAAATGGCCTCGGGTGTGATCAGGGGCCCCGTCCTGCCCCAGGCCTGGACGGTCGACTGCCTGGGGAGCTGGCAGGTGGGGGAGGTGATTCTGACTGGGATCTGGGGGAGAAGGCCCGGAACTGAGAGGAGGGAGGGCACGGGGGCATCACACCGGCTCCTTGAACGCCCACTTCCCACATCCAGGTTCTCCCAGATGGTTCAGGACAAGTCCCTGCGCACATCCTGGCAGCGGAAGATGAAGGACCGGCAGGAGAGGAAGCTGGCTAAGGACTTCGCCCGGCACCTGGAGGAGGAGAAGGAGCGGCACCGGCAGGTGAGGGGCGGGCCAGGCAGGGGCTGAGCCGGTGTTGGCCGTAACAGGGGCAAGTGGGAAGAGGAGCTGTCCTCTAACCCAGAGACCTTGGGAAGACAGGGAGCCTGGCCAGAAGCAGAAGCGCAGTCCAGGACCCCAGGGTAGGGAAGCCCAGTGGAACATCAGATTTAGCCAGGGGCCTTATGTGAGCCCCAGGGATGGGAGGAGGCCCAGGATGCAGCCCCCTGGGCCCTCACTGGTGATCAGAGCATTCAGTGAGATGGGCTCAGGGGTCCCTGCCCTGGACCTGCTCTGATGGGAAGGGCTGATGAATCGGAGGCTCTATCCTGGGTGTTGTTGCCAGTGTACTCTGAGACACAGCTCCCACACATCAGCAGAGAGGGCTGCCTGCAGAATCCTCCAGCTCCTCCCTGACGCTCAACCCAAGGCCACAAATGTCCCGTTAGAGGTTCATGCCCAACCTCTTTAGTCTCCAGGAAGCGCCAGCAGGCAGCACCCAGAGAGAGGGAGGTGCTGGTGTTGGTTCACCAGAAGCAGAGTGATCAGTGGGACTTCACTCACCCAGGGGCCCCCAAAGAGTCAGACACCTTGCCTCCAGCTTGCGGTCCCTGCCCGCCCTCAAGGGGAGAGGTGGGCCAGTCACTCAGTCATCCGTCCCCCGCCTTGAGTCGCCCCAGCTCAGCTCCTGTGGCAGAGACCCTGCAGATGGTGTGGCTGCCACCGTGTACCCGGGCCTTATCTCGCTTCCTGTGCGGCCCTGGCTGCCTCTTGGGCAAGACAGAACCTTCTTGTCACCATCCCCTTCAGAGGTGCCCCTGCCCAGCCCCCAGCCCAGACCTTCCCCAGCCTCCGGGAGCTCAAGTATCACTTCTCCTTTCTCTCCACGGGCCCAGGCTGCCCCTTCAGCCTTGAGTTGCCAAAGCCGAGAGGCCCCTGACCACACACAGCCTCAAGGCCGCCATCCCTGCCCCGGGCCCACCAGGCACAGTAGTCAGCATAGCCATTCCAGAGGAAGTCTGCATCTAGATTCACCTTCTAAGTGTCCCCAGTGGGCCGGTCCTTTTCCAAGCCCTGTGTATGTATTCGTTCATTTAGTCCTCAAAGCAACCTCATGTAATCACATCTTCACTTTAAAGATAGGAGGTAGAGGCCCAGAGCTGAAACCACTTTACCAAAGTCACCCATTTAGGAAGTAGCAGAGTCAGGATTCAGACTGACCCACATCGCTCTGGGGTCTCTTCTTTGCAGCCTTCGCCTTTCCTAGCCCTGCACTGGGGTGACCCTTGGAAAGCTAGCCCTCATCCTTGCCCTTGCATTCTAGGGGCTCGTGGACTTCAAGGAGGAGGGAGATGCTGAGAGGATGGAAATGAGGGGAAGGGCCAGCGATCCCTTCTCCCTGGGCGGCAGTTGATGAGGGGCGTGGTGCAAAGGACCATTGTCCACGTGAGCCTGAGCTTCCAGGTGGGGCACCACCCATGTCTTACACCTGATCAGGTGCCCACCTTCTCAGGTGGAGTCAGGAACTTCCTGCTACAGCAGGCCTCTGGGTGGTGGTCCCACGGGCACAGGGACAGTGTCCTCACTGGCTCGCTACCTCCACAGCACTAGGAGCAACTGGGAGCTGGGATAAGTGGCCCTTTGGCCCTCCTCGCTGGGAATTCTCTCAGCTCTGACTGCCTGAGAGACCAGGGCCGCCTCAGCGCCCAGACCCATACATACCTGCTTCCCCTTTGTGTCCAGGAGAAGAAGGAGCGCCGTGCAGAGAACCTGAGACGCCGCCTGGAGAATGAGCGGAAGGCGGAAATTGTCCAAGTGGTGAGTGTCGCCCTGCATGGGGGACGGGCTGGATGTCGGGTTCCAGACACCCTGGCGCCCCTCCCTCACGGCCCCCTGCTCGTGCCACAATCCCAGGTCCCCGCAGTGACCTCCCTTTCCTCGGGGAATGGGGTGGAGAGCCCGGCCACACTGATGCCCTCCCCTCAACCATCCCCAGATCCGAAACCCCGCCAAGCTCAAGCGGGCGAAGAAGAAGCAGCTGCGATCCATCGAGAAGCGGGACACACTGGCCCAGCTGCAGAAGCAGCCGCCACAGCGGCCGGCCACCAAAGTCTGAGCTTAGGACAGCCGAGGCCTTCGGTGGCCAACCACCGTGTCACACACGGCAGCCCCCGGGCCACTGGCCACCCGCCTCCGCTGATCCGGCACTCCGGCTCTGTGGCTCCCAAACGGGCTCCATCCGAGCTGGGGCTCTGAGCCTTCGAGGGCCATTGGGCAGGTCTTTGTGGAGCAGACAGAGCCTGGAACTTCCTTCCTGGAACAGAGACTGGAAGGTGGAAAAGGGTCAGCCCTCTCCTCCCCCTTACTCCTGACCATTGCCCTCTTCTCTCCAAGTGCCTTCAAACTGAGAAGAGTAATTTCTGCTTGCCTCAGGGAGCTGAAGACTAGAGGGTGACTCCCCAGAATGTGTGGGCTCTGTCTCAGGGTCTTGGGTCTAACCCAGGCCAGGAGACCAGAAGTCAGGAATCCAGCTCCCCCCTGAACCTTTCCAAAGGCTGTTTTGGATCCGTCTGCAGCCCACTGACCCTGTCACCCAGCAGACTAAATCTCACTCCACCACACTTTGCAACACTTAAGGTTAAGATGGGGTGGGAGAGGCATTTGGGGGGGGGGGGGGGGATAGTGTCTCTCTATCTCCCCCTTTCCTGTCCCAGACTCTGCAGAAGCCCCCAGAAATCTGATTAATTCATGCCATCCAGTCTCCAGCAAAAATCTTTATTGAACGCCTGCTGTGTACCGGCACAATTCTAGGTGGCAGGGAATACAGACAAAAGTCTGTAAAAAAAGCTCCTTGAAAGCTTCAAGGAGCTTTCATTCTGATGGATAAAACATAACAAACAAGTCAAGTGTATTGTGTGTCAGATGGCGCCAAGTGCTGAGAGAAGCAAGGGAGCAGGCAGGAGGGAACGTGGGTGAAGCATCAGGATGGGATGTCTGTTCAGTCAGCTGTCCATCAACTGCTCCGTTTGCCTAGCGTGGGAATAAGTGAGTAAACACTGGGAGCCCAGCTGCAGGTGGTGGCACAGGGAGCCCTGAACCATGTCCCAGAAGTTTCTCACCCGGCTCTTCCATGGGTGTTCCATCAGCCAGATGTGTATTGCACCAGGCCTGGGATGCTGAGCTAAACAGACAGGATAGTGGAGGTGCTATAGTAAGTTACCCCTCACACCTGCCAGCTGAGGGTCAGAGCTGCAGCCCCTTTGAGGTCAGGAGGTGAGGGACGCACAGATCTAGGGGTTACCAGCATTGCCCGGAGAGCATCCCACGGAACTGAAGGCCGGCATATCAGGTGAGCTCAGCAAAAGGGCTGTGGTCTCGGAGGTTGCCAGGCACATTCAAACACTCCAGACCTCAGTACAGATGTGCATTGTACTTTAACTAGCCCAGGTTTCCCAAACATTTGACCATAGCACCCCTTGCTTTTGCCATTTGGGCAGTGCTGGGGCAGACAGATGGGGGCTCCCACGCAGCTATCATAAGGACCTTGAGTATGGGGTGGGGGGTAGGGGGGCTCTTTCACATACTAACAGTAATTGAACAGGTAAATGCCAGTGGTTAGTATGCAGACCCTGTATGTTGGGCAGGTTATTTAACCTTCCTGCACTGCAACTTGCACATGGTATCAATAAAAAGTGGGGCTAATAGAACTTGACCCTCTTCCCCAGACTCAGATAAAACCTATATAGGTCAGTAAATGACAACTAAACGACCACAGTGAAAAGGTTAGCCCCCAACAGTGCTTCCCAAACCTTTCCTCTCACTTTCAGCTCCAAAACTACTTGACTGGTTTAATGTAAAACTCGACCCCACCCATCACCTGCTAAAATAGCTCCAGGGAGATGTGTCCTGTGTATCCACTACCCTAGCTTGAGACGTCTTAGGGTTTTAGCCTTGCATTACTCTTGGGAGCTTGTTGGAAACACAGAATTTCAATCCCACCCCCCTCCCCTGCCCCTCCGCGCCAGCCCTCGGCTGGGCCAGCTCAACCAGACAATCCCTGGATGACTCCCGCGCAATGATGTTTGAGAAGCACTCTAACTTCTTTTCTGAAGAATTCACTGAGTCACGTGGGGGGGGCGATCGCTTCCAGCCCTTGCCTCCCGGGGAGAATGGAATGGTTCTGAGCCGGGCGATTCGGGTCCGTGCCTCCTACCCCGAGGTGGTGCTCAGCGCCCGGTTCAGGGGGCCCCGCTCGTCCTGGGATGGGGCGCGGTCCCTCTGCGGCGGTGCCGAGCGGTCGCCCAGTAGCCAATCGAGCAGGCGCGCGGGCCAGAGCGCAGGCAGGCGGCGGCCGCTGCTCTCGGAGAAGGAGGAGGCCGAGGTGTTGGTGGAAGAGGCGCGGCGCCGGCGGCGGCTACTGCCCCCGGCGGTCAGATCGCTGTCGTCCACCAGCACGCTCTCCAGCACGCTCCGCAGCGAGCGCCGCAGCTTGCGCAGCACGTCGGGGCAGGTAAACACGTAGAGCAGCGGGTTGATCACGCTGTTGATGAAGGCCAGGCTGGTGACGAAGGGCAGCCCGCGCCACACGAGCGGCCGCAGCGACGGGTTCGCGTGCGCCCGCGCCTCCATCACGCTGAACACGTGGTAGGGGCCCCAGCAGAGCGCGAAGGCCGCCACCACGGCCGCCACCAGGCGCACGAAGCGGCTGGACCGCCGGCGGCCGCGGTGGCGCAGCTGCGCGCTCACAGCCAAGTGGCTCGAGGCGATGATAGCCAGCGGCACAGCGAAGGCCAGCAGGAACTTGCTGACGGCCAGGGCCGTCTGGCGCGAGTCGCACGTGGCGTTGCGGTCCGGCCCGGGGCTCAGGAGCAGCACGTTGTAGTAGCACATGATGCGCCCGTCCAGCCGCGGGATGGTGTCCCGGAACACGAAGTAGGGCACGGTGTTGATCACGGCCAGGACCCAGAGCGCCAGGCAGACCTTGTGGGCAGCGGCCACCGTGCGGTGGTTCTGTGCCCACACGGGCCGCACCACCTGCAGGCAGCGGTCCAGGCTGATGGCGCTGAGCAGGAAGCCGCTGGCAAACATGTTGAGGAAGAAGATGGAGGAGTGTAGCTTGCAGAAGGTGGTGCCCAGCTTCCAGGAGTGGCCCACGGCCAGGAAGTAGGTGAAGAAGGGCAGGGAGGCGGTGGCCAGAAAGTCGGACAGGGCCAGGTGCAGCACCCAGGTGGTGACCACGGTCTGGCGCATGCGGCAGCCCACCACGAAGAGAATGAGTCCATTCTCCACCAGGCCCAGCAGCGAGGCCAGCCCGTGCAGCAGCACCGACACATGGTCCATGTAGCGGATGCTGGAGTTGCTGTGGCTTTGGAGGCGGCTCATCTGCTCCAGGAGGGGACAGAGCGGCTTCGTTGTGATGTTGGCCAACATGGTGGGCTCTGTGGCAGAGAGGAAGAGGCGCTGTGGGGGGCAGTTCTGGGCAATGGGGAACCCTGGCCAGGATATGGGACTGTGTCTAGGTTATAGGGTTGTTGGGAGAATTAAATGAATGAACAAATATATAAGAATTTCAGGGGCTGCCCTAGTGGCTCAGTGGTAAAGAACCCACCTGCCAGTGGGAGACATGGTTTCAATCCCTGGGCTGGGAAGATTCCCTGGAGAAGGAAATGGCAACCCACTCCAGTATTCTTGCCTGGGAAATCCCATGGACAGAGGAGCCTGGTGGGCTACAGTCCATGGGGTTGCAAAAGAGTTGGACATGACTTAGCGACTAAACAACAACAACCATATAAGCATTTCAAGCAAGAGTAAGCACGAAGTAAGCAGTATATCAATGGCATTGTAATTAAGTAGATAGCCTAAGATCAATTGGAGAAATAGGTACCAAGGTCAGGCCATGCAGGACTCCCTTTTCCCAATCTCCAGAGCACTGGGGCGTGAGTGAGGCTCCCCTAAAGGGCAGGAGGATTCAACTGGACTGGGGGATGGGACGGGAAGGAGTCCGTGGCCTTAAGGGGTGCCCTCCCCCCACCCACCCCCAGCAGCCCCCAGACCTTGCCTTCCTGCGGCCCTTCACTCCCACAGTGGTGGCTGGTTGGATGTGTGGCTGCCAACAGTGGAAGCAACCCCCCCTTTGATAGTTGAAGAGGAAATAAGATAAGAGCAGAGAGAGAGCTGGGCAGGAGGAACTACCAGATTTGGGCTCTGGAGGCCCATTACGGTCAAAAGACCCCTGCCCAGAGGCGGCCACAGGCGCTCTGCCAGTTCCAGGAAACCCAGCCTTGTTCATTCATTTATTCACTCACCCACACATTCATTCAACAGCCCTTTATGGAGCAACTACTTAGGTAAGCACTGGAGAAGCCAATCTCTGGCCAGGTGTGCAGACATCCCAGAAGTGCAGACCCACAGCCTCATCAAGAATCCAGGACCACCCAAAGTGGAGCCAGTGGAGATCAGTGAGGGCAGAGGAGGTCCGGATGGGAGGCTGCCTGCAGGAAGTCAGCAGGGTAGCAGGGGGAGGGAACTGGGGATCGTCCTGGGCCCCCCACAACATGCTAGGAGCCGTGGTAGGTCCTTTATCTAGGTGTTCTCGTGCTCACGGCTCTAGAAGAAAGGGGCTGGTACTTCTCTCCATCCCATTTTGCAGATGAGGACACTGAGACTCAAGTGTTTCCATCACTTGCCCAGAATTTCCCGAATAATACAGGCAGGTGGAGAAACGAGAGTTTAGCATTCAGCCTGCTATCATTCCTCTTCCTCTGAGCTCTAAGCATGAGGTGATGGAGGAAAAAAAGAAGGAAAGGCAAGGCAGGGTCAGGGGGATTGGTCTTCAGTATCCATCTTTCCACAGGAGACACTTTTGGCCAGGATGTGAAAATCTACACCCTTCTCTGGAGACCATGGTCCTTCATAGGATGAGGGCCCAGGATATCAAACTAGAATTTCCTTGACAGGTGAGGCACTTGGAGCTGGGGACCTGCAGGTATGGGGGAGGGGTGCTGTTGTCCCCGTGTGCTCCCTAGAACGCTCAAATTTCCCAAGTTCTAGAGTCTGCAGAGCAATTACATTCACAATGAGACCGCATTTTCCAGAAGAGGAAACAGAGGTTCAGAGGAGCACAAGATCTTATCCAGTGTCCCTCAGCTGCCGGGGAAGGGGCGCTGCAGGAACTCCACTCCCAGCAAACACATACATGCCAGCCCCTCCCTGTGCTGAAACATCCCTTTTAGCCCCATCTAAGTCCCCCGAGGATGCTGTGAAAGCATGTCCTGCTGTGCCCTGGGACCTGAGCCAGGATGGACCTTCTGGCTGATGGAGTCTGGCCCCCAGCCTCCCAGGATTTTCAGGGAGCCCAGCAATGAGAGTCCTGTTTTGACAGAGGGCTGGGGGCAAAGAACACTCAGTTTTTAGTGTCAGAGACCTGGCTTTGAATCCCAGCCCCTTGACTTCCTGGCTGGGTGAACTTGGGGTCAGTTACCTTAGGACCCGCTCATGGGACCCTCCCACCCAGATGGCTCCTGAGTCTTGAAAGAGAAGCTTTAACGGTCTTTCACTGTGACTGCTGTCTAGTAATTACCTGAGAAACTGTGGTGCTTCCCTCTTCAGAGCAGTATGTCCCCTCCAGTCTAGTCTCTGCCATCCTAGCTGGTAAGAGCCCTCTCCCCTGATAAAATTATGCCCTCTATCCTGGGTCCAGAGGAGGCACTGAGGCTGCCCAGCCCCGGGGCCACCATCTCCTTACCTGATACAGAGGGCACACAGGATTCCAGCCCCGGAGGCAGTCAGCTCCTCGAGACAGACAGGAGGCAGCGGGCAGGCAGAGAGAGACAGGGGAGGAAGGCTGAGGAGGAAATAGCTGTCAGCCCCAGAGTCAGTGTGTGTGTATTTAGGGGAGGGGTGTGGGGGGAGGCGGGGACAGCTAGAGAGTGAAGTATTACACTGGTGTTCAAGTAACATCCATCTCCATTGATGGGGATTGGACGAAACTGCCAGCTTGTCCTGTCTCTCTTTACAAAGGCGATTTTGCAAAAGCCCGGGGTCAAGTGTACGTGTACATGGAGAATTAGGCGTAGGGCAGAAAGTGTGAGCCTGTGTTCATTTTGAGAGTGGCAGGTGTGTAGGAGAAGTGCTTGAGGAGAAGGGTGTCCTGTCCATCTGTGCCATCCTGGACTGCCCTCCCCTGACTCCATCGCCTTCAGGAAAGAGACTCATGTGGCTCCTCCCGTGTGCCCAGGCAGCGCAGGGCCAGGGGTAGGGGCGGTCTGTGCAGTGGCCCCGAGGGCTGTATGGCCAGGAAGGCAGGGTGGGGCTGTGGTAAGAGGATGGGTCTGGCTGTCCAGGCTGCCCACAGTCCTAGCTGGGAGGTAAGCCACTTCCCCCTGCCTGCCCCTGCTTGGCCATCTGTCACCAAGAGCAACAGTGTCACCTCCCATGCTGACCAGGTGCCCTCATTCACAGCAGACCCAGCACACAGTAGGTGCTCATAAAAATCAGGTTTCTTCCCTCTGGGGGAAAAATGGGTATAGGCTGTTGGGCAAAGGCAGTACAGCTTTTATTTCAAATGGGGTGGGAATTCCTTAGTGGTCCAGTTCTCATTGCCAAGGCCCCAGCCAGATTCAATCCCTGGTCGGAAACTAAAAACCCTACAAGCCATGCGGGGGAGGCCAAAATAATAATAAAAAGGGCTGGGCTCGGACCCCACAGATGAAATGATTGAACTCCTTTTGCTGACCAAGCTTCCTGAGGTAGGGACTCTTCAACCTCAGCATCTAGCACCCAGGAAATACACAAAACTCATTAGGAACTCAGAAAACCACCCCCGCCATAGGATTGACTCTAAAACTCTTCCATTTTTGGTACAGGCTTAATGTAGTGCCTGGCACTTGATAAATTTGCTGAGAGACTGCAGTCCTGAGTGAGGAATGTGATGGTGAAACTTGCTCAGTCTCATCCAAGTTGGAGATTAGTAAGAGCCTTGATTAAACAAATGACTAGCATTGGGGCAATGTCCCCTCTCCTCTTAGTGACAGAGGGGCCCTGTCCTCTGAAGACAAGTGCCTACAGCCCTCCCTCAGCAGTGCTTCCCTTCCACTCTGGGGAAAGTACCTTCATCCTCATCCCACCACCACCTGACCTGCTGAGCACAGATGTCCTCTAAGGCCACGCAGGCAGCGGGGTGTGGCCGGTGGCCTTGGGCAAATAACATCACAGCAGTAAAATAGGAATTTTTTTTTTCAGGTGTTCCTTCTGCACAGCTCCTGCCCCAAAGTGGTGCACAAACTGCTCTTTGGACTTAGAAAGAATTCCCCCTTGGGGCTTCCCTGGCGATCCAATGGTTAGGACTACATGCTCACAATGCAGGGGTCCTGGGTTCGATCCCTGGTCAGGAAACTAAGATCCTACATGCCGTGAGGCAAACATGAAAAAGAATCCCCCCTTTCCTCCTAAAGGCACATCTTAGCTCCAGGGCATCAAGCTTGGGACAGGGCCTTGCCCTCCTCCTGGCTCTCAGCCCTTCCTCACCCCCTCCACCAGCACATACCCTTGTGCAGTGAACACCCTGTACAACCTCTCCTGGCGGCCCTGCCAAGGTGCTTCTCACCTGAAACCCTCGCTTCTCTCTCCAGTTGAAGCCTTTTCCAGACCGAAACCCTCACTACTCTGACCCTCCCTTCCCCAACCCTCGTTTCCAATCCCGTAATCACTGTGGTGACTCGTCTCCCAACCATCTGGGGATGGACATTTTAAGAAAAGTTACTAAAACAAACAAGACAGTGCTCCAGATGAGCAGGGCCCGGAGGCATTTCCTAAACAAGGAGGCAGGGCTATTTGTTCCACGGGGCTATGCTCCCACGGTGGAAACCAGCCTCCTGCGTGAGTCCCACAGGCTCCATGTGGAGGTTGCCTGGGCAGGATAGAGTTAGGGCGGGGAGCGTGGGGAGAATGTGCCTTCTCTCTGGACTTCAGGAATCTCGAGTGCTAGGTTTCAGCACTAGGCACTGAAGAGGAGTCTCACGAGCGGTAGGGGCTCAAAGAGGGGGCTCTCTGGCTGAGAGCAGAAGACAGGCACTCCCAGGAGAAGATGCAATCAGAAAACCTTGTGGCAGCCTCCGCAGTGTCAGGCCAGTGCTGCAGGCAGGGGGACACCCAGGCTGGCAGAGGGGCCCTCGTAGAGCCCAGAGTCCAGAGGAGAGTGAAATGACCAGGGCCTTCAGCTGGTAAAGAATCCTCCTGCATGCAGGAGAGAGACCCCAGTTCAATTCCTGGGTCGGAAAGATCCCCTGGAAAAGGGATAGGTACCCACTCCAGTATTCTTGGGCTTCCCTTGTGGCTCAGCTGGTAAAGAATCTGAATGTGGGAGACGTGGGTTCGATCCCTGGGTTGGGAAGATGCCCCGGAGAAGGGAAAGGCTACCCATTCCAATACTGTGGCCTAGAAAATCCATGGACTGTATAATCCATGGGGTCTCAAAGAGTCTACATGACTGAGCGACTTTCACTTCACTTGGCAAATACACCAGCCCACCACATGTTCAGTGTGCATCAGAACCTCCTGGGGGGCTTGTAAAACCCAGATTGCTGGGTCCTCCACCCCTAGAGTGTCAGATCCAGCATGTCTGGGGAGCTTCCTGGGTGTTTCCATTCATGTCAAGTTCCCTGGGAGATGCTGACACTGCTGATTCTGCTAGGGTGGAGAGCTCGGGGTCCTTGAATCTGGTCCTTGAGCGTTAAAGCTCAACAATAAAACTACATCCCTCAAAGCCAGGAGCAGCAGGGTCCTGGTAGCAATGGAAGGGAGGGGGCTGTTCACTGACACCCCGCCCCCCCAAGACCTAGAGACAGATGCAGCCACCTCCAGGCCACAGACCCTAGTCCCTGAAGCACAACCTTTTCCGTGGCTTACAACCTGATATCAGAGCCAGATAGAGCCAAAGTCAGGTCCATCTCCACATGAAACACGTGTACCGCCCTGGAGGAGAAAAGCTGGAGCCTAACAGATCTCTGTGGGGGCTCTGCCAACTGTGGAAACGGTCTAGACTCCCAATGCCATCCTCAAGTCTTCTTGGGATCCATTGCGGCACCCACCCATCTCCACCCACTTCCCTGTGTCCCCAGCTACCCCATCTCCTTTGCGCACCTCTGTGCCTTTGCCTATGCTGTTCCTGCTGCCTGGAGTACCTTCCCCCCTCCTCCACTCATCCTGCAGGGCCCCTTTCTGAGACCATCAGTGTCTCTGAGCTCCCAAGAGGATGCTCTTGGCATCAAGTGTATTTAACGTACAGTCAAGGGAATGGGCCGACTGCCCCTCAGCTGTGGGGCCCGGCCCAGAAAGACTTTCTCCTTCTGACCCTGCCATAGGAAGTAGGTTTTCATGTTCCTTTCTGACCTCTTTAAAGAAGTAATCAAACAGGAAGTGAGATGCATGACAGGAAGCAGGTGAGGCCTACCCTAGAACCCTCCAGCCCCCTGTACTCAGAAGGCCGTGGAGTTGACCACGCAGCAGAGTAGGACCCCACCTGACACCTTGCGGAGGCCGGGGTGGAGCTCCCTAATGCCATCATCATACACAGTGGAGGCTTAGCTCCTCGTATGGCCAGTAAGCCCCTGGGTGACCTAGCCCTGCCTGTACCTCCGCCTTCATTTCTGCTTCTCCCTAATCACTTCCTAACATCAGTCAGCATTTAACACCGCCTCGCCACACCCTGTGCATATTACTGTGCCCTCGCTTATGCTGTTTGCTACCTGCTGTAGAATGCCGTTTTCTCCCTTGGCCTCTTTGTGAACTCCTATTCATCCTTCAAAACCCTGGCCAGAGGTTACCTCCTCTGAGAAGCCTTTGCTGAACCTCTCAGACTCTACCTCCCACATCCTTGCCTCACTTCATATAGTGTAGCTTTGCCCTCCACAGTCACTTTCACAGGCCTGCTCCCTACCCTCATCACCTTCATCAGCAACTGAAGAACCAGAGATGGTTTGTATTTTGTCTCATCACAAAAGCCAAGCAGAGGATCTGACAGGTGGGAGGGGTCTCAATGAATGTGTGCAAAAAAATTCATCTCTAGTACTGGAGCTTAGACCTGAAAAGGCCCCCCGGCTCCTCATGGCAACCTGTCTGGACCCACTGTTACTCATGGGTACAATCTTGAGGACTAGTCACTTCCTGTTACTATTGTTGCAGAGAAGGAGCCAATTCTGACTCCATGTTGGAACTGTTTCTTTGACTTGCTTTTAGTTGCTTTTGTTATTATAATCATACAGAATGGCCTGCCTCAGAGCATCCTGCCCCTCTGCCTGACTGCCTCAGTGCATTTGTTCAGAACCCTGTCCATCTGGAGATGGCAGAAAGGAAGAAATGAACACATCCCCTGCCTGAGGCTTGCCATTCTAGATGTCTGCAAGATTTATGGCCTTTTTACTTTGCTTCCTCACCTACACCCCCAATCTCTGATCTATAAAAGAACCTGGCATCCAGACCCCGATAAGATGGTTACCTTGAGGCGCTAGCCTGCCATCTTCTTGGTCTGCCAGCTCTCAATTTAAGTCTCTTCCTTGCCTCAACCTTTCATTTCTCAGATTCATTGGTTCATCATGCAGTGAACAGAGTGAGCTTGGACTTGGCAGCATTATTAACTAATAACTTTCTCAGACCCATGTGTATGCCAGTTACTCCTCACCAAAAAAATGTATATGTATATATTTTAAGTGTTTGTATATATGTATGTATATATGTGTGTATATATACGAATTATGCCCCACCCAGATAATCCAGAGTGGTGTGGTTTTGAGATCCTTAACTCAGCTACATCTGCAAAGCCCCGTTTTCCAAACAAGCT